AGATAATCTCTTCGGATTTTGAAATAATGAACCCTTTATCGTGCTGCTCACGTAACTGTTGTGTTAATGTCGTAGGCATGATACCTTAAACCATCTCGCCTGTATATCAAGTGAAATATTGTACTATAGTATGTTTATGAGAAATTTTAGCTGGAATTGTCTGAATATTGTTTGAATATTTCGCATAAAATGTTTCTTAACAATCGGATGTGTTCATATTTATTATATTTGGAAGGAAATTGAAGTGATCATTGAGTTTCACGATGTTATTCATTCCGAGCAAATCGCTTGTTCATCTTAAATGCAAATACAATAACATGGCAACATCGCGTTATCCTCATTATTCATTGCTATTCAAACAATTCCTTTCTTTCATCCTATAGGAATTATAAGAAAAACTCCAAATTATTTCTAAATTTCACCATACCATTGCTTCATAACACCAGATGTGTGCACGTTCAATGGACACGTGTTTGTGAAGAACATTTAGAAATAAACAAATAAAGATGTATGGCCATTTCTTATTAATTGCCATTTATTTCTTAATTTTTTGTAGCTGTCAAAGAGTGAAGCTAAATTTCCTGTATAGGTATGATTCATTGAATTGTTTTTACAATTTCAGCATTTGAGATGCTCTCTGATCAGCGATTTATTTCCCCGTATGATTGTTCATTCGCTGATTAGTCATTTTTGGGTTTCATTGCAACAACATCATTAATATTCCAATAACTCTCATTAATCTGCTGTAATGCGCATATGGTAGCTCTTTTCTTTTTTCACAGTCACCTGATGGATTGATTTTTCACTTGTTATTTAACAAATATTCACAGTTCCATCAGTGGAGCAGATGAAATAGACGGAATTTCCAACAGCTGAATCATTTTCTAATGAGTTTTGAAACAGCAATAACCAAAAAAACCAACCAGTGAACAGTCGATGTGTGGAGCGGCTGTTGTTTCACACAACAATTTCAAAAAACTGGTTCCAAGTGAATATGGTCGATTATATATATATGTATGTGTGAAGAAGATGTGAGTTGGTTGATGGAAACGAAAACTGACTTGTTCAGAGCACATAACCCTGATCAGATCTTGAAATTTTGTTAAAATAAACGACATTTGTTGCAGAAGAAGACCTAATTATTGCAAAAGAATGACATAAATTATTTTCATATTATCGTCTCGACGATATTGCCTTCCGTTACGTATCGCCGTGTTCACATGGTTTATCGTTTTTCTATCGTTTATTAATGCTATGATAAACATTCACTGTGTTGTGGATTAGTTCATGGGACAGGATTGTGTCATTTTATGCATGTCTCGTTTGATTCTTGCCGATAATTGTGTTGAGGTTTGATGTGTTCGGTGCTGAAATGTTGTTAGTGATTTTTGATCGAAATACATGTGTAATATGATAACATTGTAATGAATTATGATTATTAACTCAACAAAATGAGGCGCAATGAAAAGAGGAATACGGCGCAATTGATCTGGTCTAGAACCGTGAGAATTAGAGCATTTTCAATTGTAAAAGAAACGCTTCAAAGTTATGAAACGCTTTGCTGATTGGAAGAATCCGTTTCTACATATTTCGTTATTGGCGTTGTCATTGCTGAATTTCTCCTAATGAAAACGTTTCGTATTTCAATGGTATTTGTGGTGAGAATTAAGGTATTACTCTTGGATACTAGAACTACAATGGCATATGTTCCGCGAACACCAATTGTATCATTTTTGCGTGTGTCGTTCGTGCTTTTGACTTATGTTCATGTTTAATTTCGGGTAATCAAGCAGAAATTTAGGGCGATAATGCATTCGTGGAAGAACATTTTAGTCGTCGTCGGTTGCTTACTGGCCGTAACTCTCGCAAAAGTGAGTAGTTGAATTGACCGTTCGTTTATCGACAGTCAAACTTAGCATTGCTCACCAGTTCATTCAGCAATTCACAAGGCAGTGAATGATCTCGGATGGGATCATGAAATGAAATAACTCCTATCCATGACAGCCTCTGCTGGATAATTTTTACTAACATAAGAAACGAACAGAATAGACAAGGAATTGACCGAACAAGCTGATTAACCAGTAAACACACGAATCTAGAGAAAAGCTCCCATTATCTCCTCTAAGCCAACATTGCTTATCACTTTCAAATCCAGTGATGAGATCTTGATTATCTTTAAAACTCTCATTATCTGTTATTAGGCATTCAATATCGCTTGTACTAAGTAACGATAAAAAATATTTTTGACTAGATTGGATCCATTCGAGTGAATACTCCAATTGTGATCCGACTTATGAATCGTTTATGTTCAGGAGGGCAAAAAATGTGGACTGCCACCGTTTGTCGTGGAGATGCCTGACGAAGAGCAGAAAGAGGTGAAAACCATATGGCGTAACTACAAGAAAGGTGACGATTGTGGAGAATTAAGAGAGCAAACCAAAGCTGTGGTTAGTAGCATTCCCGTATTATTTCATAAGATAACTGGAATTTCATAAGTAAGAATTGCCAATTGCGCGAAAGATTCTGTTTGTTTCCGTGCAAAATCTGTTAGGAGATGTGGACTTTCGATCTAACATTGCTTGTGACTATTCTGGATGGGAAGATTGAAAAGATTCATGCTTCCAGCTCGTTCGAATCTCATCGAGTGACTAAGAAATTCATGATATCACATTTCTGATGTATCGCTATTCCCTCGTGTGTTATTTGTGGGAAGAGATGTCATTTAGAGATTGAGCTGTGTAGTGTTGACCTTGTTGACACTTCAGTTACTCGTTGATTTAGGCTCAAAGCATCAGGGTGATTGAATCTGAGCAATAAAATGCAAATATTATGATGTTATCTTACCGAATTTGTTCTTTGGTGTATGAGAAGTATTTGTTTCCTTATTAGGGAATGTTTCCGTCCTAAATTATAAATTGATTGAATGTGATTGCATTCATTACATTGCATTTGCTCAATTTATCACTAATTTGCAATAAAGTGCAAAATCAACGTCAGTGTAATGTGAACGTCAGAGAGTGTGTGTGGAAGAGAATCAGAATTACGCATGACGATCTCATGAAAAGATTGATAAATAGTTGAAAGAATCATGAAATAGATTGAGAGTTCAGCTGAATATTGTGTGAAAAGAATGAGATTAGTTCAATAGCACGAAAAAGAATGAGAAATCACTAAAAGACTTTTGATGTCACCGAAACATTTCAGGTAAATCATTCATAATTAATGACAATCGAATGCAATTCGCTGGAACGATTTCGTTTTGCAGGTGTTTCGAATTTTCTATGAAATAAATTCGGAACTAAAACTGTTCCGACTTAGATATGACATTGACTTGATGAAAAAGCTTGATTGGCTAAGGGTTCACCTCATTTGAAAATTCTTTGGATTGAATGATACCACAATGGTGTCTTTCTTTTGCCAAACCATTAATTCTGTTTATAATGTCACTGGACAAGTCCATAAATGTCTCAATTCAATAGCGCATTTGCGCTCATTCATACAAATTGATCACTATAGAGCAATAAATACGTTCATATTAGCAATAGACGGATTGCGATCTTCGAGCTAACCGTCACTACAGGTTTGCCCGGAAACATGCGAATTTCTTTTCATCGTCCGATCCAGTAAGCTTTGCCCGGAAACATGCGAATTTCTTTTCACCGTCCGACTCTGTAGAACCTCTAGATTCAGAATATTAAAAATTTTACGCAGCAATTTGCTTAGTAAAGCAAAAAGTATGCGTTACGTTCCCCCAACGGGGAAAATTTCAGTCCAAATTATAAGTTAATTGAATGATTGCGTTCATTACATTGCGTTTGATTTGTCAGTTATAATCTGCAATAAAGTGCGATTTATTGCAGTGGGCAATTGGTCATCAATCTTCCATCTGCATTTGTGATGTGGGTGATATCTGGACTAATTGATTGTGATTGAATAATGATTATACGGATACGGTGCTTGATAGGCATTCAATAGTCAACATATGAAATTCTGATGGAATTTTGGGAAGATTTTCAGATTTTTTGATGAAATTTTTTTTTGCGAAGGAAATATTTTTTTCAGTTGGATCGTTTACCATCAGAAACTCGTGATAGAATCTTTCATCATGGTCCATCGTTTTTGCGAGGTGCTTCGGATGATGTGAGAAGACAGTTCAAGGAGGTTTGGAAGAATAGCTCGTTGAATCATGAGGAAAAGCTATCGGCAGTTCGGTAACATTTCAAAATTTTGCCTTGCTCCGATTTGGTTCCATTTTATTTGTTCTAACACAACTGATTATGTCTATTGCCTCTGATTGCCATTTAGTCGAACAACGATCCTTTTATTGAGCAACGATCTCAACGATATTTAAAAGTTTTCTCCAGACGAAATACTTTTTGGAGTCTAATATCATCAATGGAACAAACTTGAATGTCTAAAATGTCAAATGCTGTACCAGGTACTCTATTATGTAAGAGAACATCCAAATTTAACGAGTTATTTTGAAATATCTTTGATATTATCTATTCTGTTTATATTCCACAATATGCTAATATCATAACGATGTTAATATCATGTTAATATCTTCTTCCAAATATCTTGTTAAGATTACGTTTACATCCTGCTATTTTCTCATAATTCCTTGCCACTGGTTACAATCAAAAAGACTCAGTTGATTCCACATCTTGTTCAAATTGAATGAAATCCCAAAATGGAAAATACTAAAGAGAGGATTTTCAGTGAATTGGCCGAAAAACTGTTGAATAAAAAGCAACTGGCTGAATTCAAACGAATCGATGCGGAACGTGAACGTGCCAAAGAGGAATTTGCAGCGAAGGTTTTATCGTTTGTTTGTTGATTCGTTTATATTTGATTCATGTACTCCTTAAAATACTCCCTAATTCAATCGTTTATTTAAATGTTCTTCGCCTATCCACGTATTGATCTGCTGTTTGCGTATCCATCTTCCAGTAGGATAAATTGCAAAAAAAGGGTATTTCCAGTCTGGAATATAATCTTTCTGACTATAATCTTCAGGTTTCCAAATTATCGCCTGCAGCTAAAGAAGCGTACGACAAACTGGAGGAATTGAAGAAGGAAAAGGCGAAAATCTACGAATCGTTGAGTCCTGAGGTTCGAATTGAAATCAACCGACTGTTTGCAAAGAAGCCGAAGGATAATAAGAAGAAACGCGGTGTTTAAGTTCGGCACTACTCGAGATTCTCATTATGCAATCACTCTCAGCACCTACATCCCTATTATGCAGTGGATAATCGTTTATAACAATAAAAATCTTATCAAAATAATGATCAGTCGATGTCACAATAAATCCTAATACTTTATATGAAGAATTGTAATAATTATATAAGTTGTTATCATAACATCATGAATGACATGAATTTAATAGCATTGGTTTATGCAGTCTACAATTGTTATTGTTACGTCGTAATATTATAACTTAATAACGATAATATCACCATCTGTCATTAATTTTATCACGTTACCAATGCTATTACCTTATGACAGTGATAACTAAGTAATATTAATGGTAGATCTTGAGAAATTTGTCTCTTTATTTGCTTTGTATTCGTTCATCTTATATTGTTGGTGATGAGTTATTTTAAAACCGAAGGTGTTAATAAAATGAAACCACAACAGATACAAAAGTGTTATATTTCCAAGTAACACGCTCAGAGATGGCTCATCAGTCAATGACGATCTCAGTAATGCCATAAAATCAGTTTGATTCAGTGATTTTCATCATCACGTTGTCATCGCTCCGAAAGGAGCCCTTCCAATGCGATACGACACAAGAAAAGTAGTAAATCGCTTTGATACATCGCAGTAGAGCGCCGATGATTCTGAGGGGTTACTATTTGCGAAAAAGATTATCATTGGGATGGCAAAACAGTCGAATTTTTTGGTGATTAATGTATCGGACAGGAATGACCAGTTAGTTGTTTAGTCATCTCGGTTTAGATATGAGATTAATACGAGTGAATGGGTGATTTTATAAATTGTGAACATCGGAATAACACGAAACATCAACAGTGTTACTGTGGGCAGTGGCATGTTATGAAATGGCTACTGGTACTTAAACTATTTGTTGATACATCATTCTGTTGAAGTAATGTTATTGGTCATCCGAATTTATGTTTATGATCAGAGGCAACTAATTCTTAGGCGATTCTCTACTTGAAGCAACTGATTCTTTATGTGTTTGAAAGATTCTAATCACCAACTGACAATAGGCGGTTTTATATCAGTTTTTGAAGGAATGTCAAATCCCAGTTCAAAAAGTGTTTATCGATATTCGAGCTATTAATTTCGGACAGTCGCACTTAGATCTCTCATTAGATCAGTGGTTCTCACGTGCGGGTGCTCCATTACCCATTTTGATGGTATGACAGGCCGCCGTCACCCCCTTCCCATATTAAAAATGGAAATCGCACATGTTAAGTTCAGATGACCACTACGTTCGATCTTATTAGCGAGTCCATGATGGTAATCAACATCGCTGGACTTCCTCTTATTGTTAGA